TGAATTCAGAACTCTTTTGGTCCTGTCACTGGATCTAACTAACTTTATCCACGGTGTCATGTGTCCTTGAGGACATCTCTGTATGAATTGCAATAGCAGTGGAATTTTCTGAAGGGAGCAAGACTTTAGATTGTTCCTATGAATTTCATTGCTTATTGTCCGTTTACTGATAAAGATTCCTGATGAAAACAAATCATCCTGCAACTCTTGATGAGTAACCATTGGATTTTTTTTTAATTTGAATTATTAATTTCCTTGAAAATCTTGCAGAAACATTCAGTGGAGCACGTATTCTTTGGTTTTCAACAGTTTTGAGTTTTTATACCTTGCAATAAATAAACTAATGGTAGTAAATGAAATATTCGGGTGGTCTGAGATTTTCCTGTGACTTTTATCTTCTTTCCAGAGGTTAACAATAATTGTTTTTGCGAATTTGTCAATTATTTACCTATTGCCAGGATGAAAATCTTCTTGCACAAATATCAATTACAGAATGATCTGTTTGTATTTTTTAAGCTAAGAATAATTACTGATAACATTATTGGAACATTGTAGAATATTCAACTTGAATAATCTAGAGTAGTAAATCTGAAATTTGCATTTTATAAATACGTTTTCAAACCATTAAAATTGCTAAATGGGATTTATTTCTATTAAATAAATTTTATCTGTTTTCTATGCCTATTTAATTATTACACACCTGTATACATTTAATTATATGGAAATTATGATTATTCAATAGTTGGAAATACAATAATTTAAAAATTCCTTTGTGTACAAATATTTATTTCCCCCCTATACCGTGCACACACACACACACACACACACACATATATATATATATATACGATTTACATTGTTCGGCCTATCGTCCACATCTTTGTTACCATATTTATCACACCGTTTCGGCAGTATTACGCTCCGGCCTCTTACCTAACCCTTTATTTTGCTCGCTGGGACTGACTATTCTAATTCCACGTGCCATGTCAGTTGGATATCACTTATCATTTATCTCCTGTAAATTCCCCTCTCTAACTTCTCCACTGTCTTACCCAGGTATTGAACTCACATTCATTGGGTCCTGTTACTGGATCTAACTAACAGCCTTTAGCCACTGCGCCATGTGTCCTCAAGGACACATGGCACTGTGGATAAAGGCTCCACTGAATATTTATGCAAGATCTTCAAGGGAATTAATGCTTGAATTTAAAGAAAATTAAAGTTTGAGGTAGAAGATAGCATGGGGGCATCAAATGAAGATTATGATTTATTTTTTGTATTGTACAAATAATTTTTTCACCAATTAAAATCGATAAATGGGATTTATTTCTATTAAATCAATTTTTCTGTTTTCTGTTTCATTTATTTAGTTATTACGCATCTGTGTACAGTTAATTATATGAAAAGTATATTTATTCATTCGTTAGAAATAAATAAATTTAAAAAATTATGTGTACGAATATATGTTTCCTCTTACTGATTGTGTGTGTGTGTGTGTATATATATATATATATATATATATATATATATATATATATATACCAGTAGCATGGCCCGACGATGCCCGTGCTTGATTGAAAAAATCGTACGACTCATAGAGCAATCGCTATCACTTGACTTAAAATATTTTTGCCCTTCCTTGCCTTTAAAGGAGTCCGGTTTGCCGTGCTGATGTTGCTACATGCCTTACTTCTTGCCTATCTCGCACTGCGAAATTTTTCTAAGCTCTATACTAAACATTAATTCTGTTACGAAAAAAAGAACTAAACAAAATGAACACAAAACATTCAGCTTTAAAAAAGAACTCGTAACTGGAAAAACCGAATGAAAAAAGTTGAGTTTAAGCAAGCAAATGAGCCAATTGGAGTAAAGTGCCATGCAGATTTAAATTTTTCCCACTTGTGACGAATGCAGCCATCGATTTTTTTCCATGCTAGCATGCTAGTTAACATTCGTGTCAGTCAGCTATTGGCTCTCACGCTGTCCAGTACAAAATGGCCACAAACTACATGAAAACTGCCGTAGAAGCATGAAAAATCGATTATTTCCACTATCGATGGGAGTTGGGAAATGCAAAGTCGGCCTTGGCCTTCCTGCTAACTTGGAATATGTGCGTATAAATTTTGGTGCAAATCAGTCGAAAATTGCTTCCGTGCATTTACGTTACACACACACACACACACATCCTGCCTTTTATATATATATATATATATATATATATATATATATATATATATATATATATATATATATATATATATATATATATATATATGCGTATTTGTCTGTGCGCGCCTGTATTCGAGTGTATCTTATTATTCATGTTTGTCGTATACATCACTGAATTTAATATATGTGTATATATAAACATCTTTTCTGTAATAATTTCTATCGTGTCAGTTTCTATATACAACAGTGAGTATTTTTTGTCCACGCTTGGAATGTTTAAGTAAATCTATGTATTTTCTGACTACGCAAAGACATTCACCTTGAATATATT